GAAAGCAAGTTTATTCCCACCGAGTCAGGTGCAATCATCATAAAGGATGCTCTTGAAGATCCCCTGACAGAGAAGAACAAGGGCAGCTTGATCCCCATTGAACGAGCCAAGAGCCCTTTTCTTTTTGCGGCTGTAGGAGACGACCTCAACTGGGACAGCAAGGCCTACATGGACGAGATGGTGGAGAGACTGAAGCGTCATGGGAAGGAGAACTTTGAGACTGTTTTTTACCCTGGAGCTGGACACATGTTGGAGCCACCTTATGCACCCCACTGCCCCTCCAGCTTCAATGCAGGTGTAGGCAAGCGAGTGCTGTGGGGAGGTGAGCCCAAGGCCCACATAGCAGCTGAGATCCACCTGTGGAAGAAGATCCAGGAATTCTTCAAAACTCACCTGAGTTGTGATGCAGCACAGACTAAAGCCAAGTTATAGATGGCTTATAGATCAAACAGGATGATTAGAAAGCTTAAGTTACAGAAACATAAATCATGACAGCAAATTGACTGTACGAAAATCACATTTTATAATTAATATAATAGTTGTTTATATGACAGTTTGAAATTTTAGGTGAAATTATGATTCGCACATGTCTTCCCCTCCTGTACCTCCTGAACCCCGTACACATGTTTCTTTTTTCATTTTTCTTTATAATTTTTTGGGATTGTCACTTGATCTTCTGTCTGCTTATCCTGGACTCTACAGTCAGCTATGGTTTATTTCCAGTCTGCCTTTTTTAATGTTTTATTGAAATTACTTTTTATTTGTTTTGGCTATGCAATAGTGTTGTGCAGATGAATCTTCTCTCCTGGTGTTACTGGCACGCACTGTACATCTATCCAGCCATGAGAGGGATAAATGCTGAATGGTTAAGAAAGGAAATATAGAAATGGAGACTGAAGTACACAACATGAATCGGCATCTTGAAAAGAGAATTTGTTCCATCATCACAGTGCCAAAAACATTATATGATGAGTGTAGATACATGTTTTGAAATTTTTGCGTAACGCTGATTTTGTTATTTGATCCCACATTACTGTACTTATCTTTTGTAAACCGATCTTTATTTTGTAATTAAAAAAACAACAACATCATGTTAAAACTATTAGCTCACAAATAGACTTCAGGGAATAAACTTGATATATATAAACTTGATATATATATATATATATATAGATAGATAGATAGATAGATAGATAGATAGATAGATATATAGACATATAATATTATTGATATGGTCCAACCTACAAATTAATTTCTTAACATTAGGTGGAAGCAGTTTATTATTATGTGAGAAGAAAAAACAAAACAAGGTGAGACAATGTAGCTACTCCTGTTTAATGGTTTACTCGTATTTTAAGGTAGTAAGTAAGGTACTAAGTCCACACAAGTCGCCACCAGAAATAAGAAAGTATTCACTTGCTTTGAGCATATTTTGTATTGAACCTGCGACTGCGACTCAAGTCCGTCATAAGTCCACAAGATCACGGGTACATCAAGAAACAGCACGGACTAGTGACTCAATTTCTTTGGTGAGTTTTGGTTTTAAGAAAAAAACATGCATGTAAAACTCTCTTTGGGCTGTTGCATATTTTATGGAAATAACACATCTCAAAATGATCTAAAAAAAAAAAAGATTTTACAAATGTGTGCACTGTGTGAATTTTGAGTGCTCACAAATCCCTGCTCCACACAAATACACAGAAATGTAAACATACAGAAAGCTATTTACAAGTGCATATTTCAAAATCATAATGAACATATAAAAACACATTTTGAAGCTAAACTTCACAAATCTGCTCATTTGTGCAGTTAAAAGCTTCTTGAGCATAATACTCTCGCACACACCAATGACAGTTGACAGTGTATAGGAATTTCTTTTACTTATGTATTAATCACATTATTTTATTGTATGATGCCTTGGTGCCACTGGATTTTAACATGTTTCACGCTCATACTATAAGACAAATGGTGGGGGTTTAGTAAGGAAGTTGGGGGAAGCAGACAGCTCCACAGGAAGAAACTTTTGTCTCTTTGAGGACTCTGGGAGGGAGCAAGGGAGTGTGAACCTTAAGGTGTGAAACAGCTGTGTACTGCCTTTTGTTCCTCGAGAAGGTATTTAACTGAGAGCCATGTTAGACTCAGGGGAGACTCTGCTGACCGTCTGCTCCGCAATCATGTAGACTCTCCACCAAGCCTGGTTGTCTGTTCTTTGTGTGTTTTGATTAAAGAATGTTAGCTACCGCTCACCGCTCGTCTGCAGGCTTTATTTAAATGGAAAACTTCCACAACAACAGTTAACCACATCACACATTGCTCAAGCCTTTAATTTAGCTGTGATTTTCTTGGTATTTTATTATTATAATTTAAAATAATTCAAATATCCAGCTGTAGTTCTGTTGTTTTTCTAAACTCATCAAAAGTGTTTTGGGGGTTTCTTTTTGTATTTTACTTTTAGAGATATGCAGTTCTAAGAGTATTTTAATCTAAATTTCTAAACCAAAGAGACTTCAGGAAAGTCTGGCGGCAGAAGCATAATAAATCCATCCATCCATTCGCTTCCACTTATCCTTTCCAGGGTCGCAAGGAGCTTAATAAATCTGCTCTATAATTTGACAAAAGCACACTTAAGTCGTACTGAAACTGTAAAATGTAGATTCCATCACATAAATCTCATTCACAATATTTTTCCACTCTGATATCCTGGGCGGCCTGGGAAAGAGCCAACACCTTGTGATTTCCTTTTTGGCTGCTACAATCAGAATTTTTAATAGATATTAAAGAAATTATCAGAATTTTCTAAGAATATGGTAGAAAATTGGTATTTTATTTACCTTGAGCTTTGTGGAACTCAAGCCGTAATGTTTTAATTTTCCAGCAGTCCCACCTCACAGGCCTCACATAACCTCCAACAGTTGAGTGTTCTCGTGTTAACTACAGAAATTATTTTTATCAGTGGTTTATTGTCCTGTAAGGAGTACAGAAAGGTGTATCTGAGTACTTTATACTTTATAAAAGAAATCTTTACTGATGGGTGCATGGGAGGGTATCTGGTGCAAAGGTATCACATTAACAGTGGCTGTGCAAGAGCTATTAAAATTTAACAAAAAATAGGACACAGAGTTTCTGTCTCACTCTGAAAGATCCTGCTGTGCTGATTTGCTGCCCAGTGTAAAATATTACTGCCACTGTCTGGAATGGATCTAATATTAACAGCCTGTTGAATTAACAGTGGGCACTTATAGTGTGGTTGCTTGCTTGCTAATGATACGTATTTAAATTGGCAAATTTTTTGAGTGGAGTTTGGTGTAAAGCATTTCATGCACACTGAGCACAAACTGGGACAGTGGATTATTTTAAACACTGCATGGTAGCAATGGCACCCTTCAAACTTTATCTGTCTCTCTGTTTGTCTGAAAACATAAAACAATATATAATATGGATCAATCTGTCTCTGAATCTTCTTACAAAAAGTATTGTGTAAGGGGAGTTTTTATCTTACATTCATAAAGTCCAATCTTGTTCTCTTTTCCATTGGTGTCTCTCAAGCACAACAATATAAACACATTGAAGTTGAAGTAATGTTTCATTGAAGTAATGGAAACCCATTGAAGTAATGTTTCAGTCATGACTGAATCCAGTTCTTCAGCATTAGTTAATGATAAAGTGTTGTATTGGTGATCATAGCTGTTAAAGTAGCACACTGATCTTCCATACTAGAGATGGGAACTGAGAACCGGTTCTTGTAGCAAACCGGTGCCCAGTAGTTCAGTTCCTTGTGATCATTAGTCTGTCTGCCCATCAGTCCTGCTTATTGGTTCCAGTTTTACTTGCGCTACTATCAGCTGATTTTTCAGTTGCTGTCACATTTTTATGTTAAGTACTGTTTAACCTGCGTGACACTTTTGTTTTGTGTTCCCCCTCACTGACTTTGTTAATCTTTGTCTTACTCATCAACCTTCTTCAATGGGTTGTTTTAGAGGTCACTTTTGCCTATTTCTGGAGTCCTTGCAAGTGGGTCAATGTGTTAGTGCATCCTTTTCTTAATTAAATCATTGCATCAGGCAAGGTGTATGACACTTTTGAATGCACACTGGATTTATGCCTCTCAAAACTGACTTACTGAAGTTAGATTTCTAACTTGATCTTCCATCTACTGTCTCCTTACAACAGGTAGTCTGACAGAGAGGCGTTTCA